AATCAGTCATAAATTAACACACTCACAGTTGACACACCCTCAGTTAGGAACCAGGAGGTCAGAAAATAAAAACAAAAACAAACAAGCAAAAATCAGCATGAGAAAGTGAGTAGAGACAAAGAGAGGGAGGCAGGAAGTCAAGTCAACAGATACAAGGCAAACAAATTAAATTCTGGATAGTCAGGCCTCGTAAGTCCTGGAGGACTTCACTATTATTTGCTAATCAGACCTTGAGTGCTAAGTTCTGCTGCCCCAGAATTCCTGACAAACACAAGCTGAGGAAATAAAGACATCAAGGATCAAACATTTGTGGAGTCAGGCATCTTCCCCTCCCCACAACCGGCACACACCTCAGGGCGCTGATACCCTAACAATCACCTTAACATCCTTCCACTCTATCTAAGCAGTTGACAGTAGACAGGGAAAGAACTGGAAGTCTTCCGAGTCCCCAGGGAGAACACAGGGAGAGGAAGCAGTGTTCATCCAAAAACAGTAGGTGGGAGCCTCCAAGAGACTCTTTCCCAAAGCTCAAAAGTGCCTATAAGAAGGGGAGATCGGCATCTAATTTTCCAGTTCGATGTCTGCTTATGAAGTGGGCTGAGTGACAGACCCTGTGCCTATCTGAGCAGGGGACAAAGAGTTGATGATAAGTGGCAATGTACAGAAAGGGGGCTGAGTTAAGCAACCTGTGTGCCACCTTTTGGCATCACAAGGAAGTGAGTTTCCAGTGGGTTGAGTACCCACTGCAGAGGGTAGCTGGATCTGAGCTGTCTTGCTATTAAAAAAATCAGGCTATAGACAGAAAAGACCTCACACATGCATACATCCTCTCTCTTCTTTCTCTCTCAGGAAGAGGGGTCAATGTATTGGCAGGGCAGGAGCAAATGGGTAGGGGCTGAGAATGTATGCTGGAAAAGGTTTAGCCACAGCAGATCTCACATCCAGGAACTGTGCAGTGGAGAACCTTCCTGTAAGAACCCACCAAAAAGGCCAGTCTGGACACCTATCGCAGTGGACATCAATGGCTTGCCACTGTTAGTCAGTACAGGGCTAAAATAGCACCAAATTAAGAAATAGTTGTCCCTTTCCATTTCTCTTCTGCCGAATCCCTGTCCAAGTAGATCCCAGAAGAGGCAAGGGAAGGAGGTACCCCAGGAGCATGCCTAATCCCCATTCCCTCCCCTCCCCTCCCCACTCCCCCCACCCCCAGGTGCTTCAGGTAGTGAACTGCTGACACTGGGGTCAGGGAGGGCAGGAGCTTTACACTGATAATGAGATTGAAGGTCTACACTGGAATAGATTCAACTGGAGCTTTGAATAGCTGTAAATGATAGAAAAGCTATCATTTGCCCATGATGTCATCGGGCCAGGGGAGGGGAAGAGGGGAAGATCCTACAAAGCATAGGCGAGAGCGCTAAATGATGAAATCATCTTAGGTTTGGTCTCACCACACTCAGCTGCTCAGTAACGTATCAGCTGTGCTGCCCTGAGCAATGGGTGGGACACCTGACACAAAAATTCCCACAGGGCATTTAGCGTACAGGGTAAGATGCTACGCTAGAAGCCCTCTGAGATCACTCCCAATTCTAAGGGCCTGTGACTGTCCTTTCTTTGAGAAGGTTTCATTGAATCCAGAGCTAAATGGTTAAACTGTAAAAGGCTAGGCTGCTTAAAGAGATAAAACTACAGCTTTCTGGAAAATAAATGTATCAGACTGACAAGTATGATAATGGTTCCATATAAAAACCCAAACCAAACCCATTGCCATCGAATCGATTCCAACTCATAGGAAGATGTTTTACTTTAAAACTTATTTAAATTAAAAATACGATTCTAAATGACTCTGAGTTTCTTTTACATTCAACAGAAATTTAGTTCAAAGAAAGCTTATGATACAGAACCCCCCAAAACTGTATCATCTTGAATCAAAGCAACTCAGCTAATCAAAAGACTTACTAAAATAAATGGCAAACATATGTCTGCTTAAATATTTTCTAGGAATTATAAACTCACACGTTCTTTATCATACAGCAGCTATAAGGAAAAATCATTACTTCGCGTTAAAATGGTTTAATGTTATTCGCTAAGATTCTTACTGCAATGACAGATATCAACACAGAGTTTTATTTTTAATTAAAAATATTCCATGTTCTTATGCTTCTAAAAATAATTAAGCATTAGAGACCAAAACCAAAAACCAAACCTGTTGCCAACTCACAGCGACCATATAGGACAAAGTAGAACTGCCCCAGAGTTTCCAAATAGCAGTTGGTGGATTTGAACTGCCGATCTTTTGGTTAGCAGCCGAGTTCTTAACCAAGCATTATAGATAGGTTTCTAAAGCTACCAAATGCTGCTTCCCCAAGAACTCCTTTCCATACCGTGTCAATCAATTTCCAAATGCTCTACATTTACAACTGGTCAAAAGACCTAGAGGTAAATTTTGACATCTGTCTCCTACTGCAGTCATTTATTGTGTCACTGCTGACCCTAAGTGAAAGGAGAAACATCTTGAAATTTAAATTTAACATTACCAAAAGTAAAATGCTCACACATGTGAAAAAGTAGTATTTGCAGATTACCTCAGCTCACAGCTGAGATCAAATGGCAAGTTACTGCTAAAGTACCTGAAATTGTCTATCTAATAAAAGCAGAGCGTAACTATTGCCACATTTGAATAATTACTACATTCTATTCAGGAAACTATCCTCCCCATTCTTAAATGACAGTTGTTTAAACAAGAACACGAATAACTATTTATTTTACACCAAGCAATATTTCGATGTCAAGATCTGACTTAAATTATGCTAATAAACTACTTCTTTTGATTTCATTCTGGGGTATGAAGTATCATACAGTCAAAATAATTGGGACTTGCAATATGACTATAAGAATTATAAAGAACTTTCAGGCTTAAGTTAAAAAGCCACTTAAAAAAAAACCCATTAAACGTTTTTCGGAGAAAAACCCTATAAAGATGTAAAATGTTTAAACCCTTCCCTAGTATTGTCCGAGAAGTCTTCGATGCCATCACATCCTATGTGTTAACAACCAGCTCTAGAGTTTATTAACCACAGCAACTTCTCAAAGAAAATAACCCAATGCTATTCTTAATGTACTTCCACACTTTTAGAAAGGTCCTTCCGGCTCATGAACTCATGGGAGTTTCCTAACAACAGTGTACTTATCCTGTTTTACTGTCTCTCCTAGTCTATGAAAAACTCAAATTTACACACCACCTCTCTTTTCTATTTTGCTATAGTGCTAAAACTGGAAAGAAAAAAGATACAAACTTGCTACTCCCCCATCCAAGGCAACAATAAAAACATTAATTAGCAAGATAAAGAGAAATAGGAAGCAGTTTCAGTATTCATAAATCACATCTTCTTAATATCACAAAAGTTATCCATCACTTATCCCAAAAGCCATATACTTTGATACAGGTATACCCTTCAACAAAAACCTGTCAAAGGATACATGTAGGGATATAGCACTATAAAATAAATTAACTATTAACTCAAATTCTGTTAGACTTAAATATTCATGTTTAAATATATCACTATTCTAAAATGTAATTTCCCTTGGGAATATTTGGCCGGGATAAGGAATGTTTAAACAAACTTTTTAGGGAAATATTTTTGGCCTCAAGTGTGTCAAAATGCAAATTCCTACAAAAAAATTAAAGAAAAATAATAGGCACCTTAGAATAAATCTTACTATTTTTGAAATAAAAGTTCTTCAAATTGTGATGAAAAAACATGGTTTTAAAAATAATTTTTAAAGTTTCTCTCTGGATCATATAGCATGCAAAGTTTGCTGTAGATTGTTCCAATGGCATTAAACTAACATAGAAAGTATGCACGCTGAGTACTTTGAAGGGAAACTGATTAGTACTTCTAAAATAAAAGACAATGGTATAAACCTCAGTGAGTTATTTGTTCCAGTCATTAAACACACAGGAAATAAGATTTTCTAGTTAGAAAAAGAACTCACAATGGGTCATGACTTCATTACGGCAAAGAAAATCTAATTAAAACAGATAACCATCAATTGTAAAATAAGGAAACAAGTGTTTATAGGGCTGGAAAGCAAAACAGAAGAGAAAAATGGCAGCAATTGCCTGAATATTTCTTCCTGAAACCTCTCCCCGAACTTGCTCCCAAGCAGAGCAATCCAGTTTCATGATGTATATATATGCACAGCCCACGGTGGATGCACTGCATTGGGGTGCAGCGTAACTAGAATTCGACCAAAGGCAGTAAACACTCTTTAACCGGACGGCGTTCATTATGACCACACTTTCCCCTCTCATGCTCTCTCCAGGAGGCTCAATGAGAAGGATCTGAAATCACGCACAAACCTCTCAGGACTGCCCCCAAAGGACACTGCTGGTCTGGAAGCCTAACGACCAGGGCTCTTTCTGGTCGCCTCCCTGGTCCTACCTGCGTGACCTTGGACAAGTCACTTCCCACTCGCCCACTAGCACCTGCACGGTTTAGCTGCGAGGGTAGATCACTAACATTGCATGATTCTACGACGCAGGGCGGAGTCGCCTCCTGACTCGGTGCGTCCTAAAGCGAAAGCGCGTTAAAAACCAGAAAACGATGTCCAGGGCAGCTCAGCGCCGTCCTGGACGTCAAGCCACCCGATCCGAGTCGCTGGGAATCCCCGGACAGCTGGCCGGAGCAGGACGGGCAGAGCCGCACTGTCCCGGCAGGAGGCGGACACGACTGTACCTTCGGCAGAGCCAGAGGAGCAGCTCCCGGCCACCTCGCCCGCCGCCGCCTGCCTGTCCTCCCGCCTGGCCGCGCCGAGGGCTGAGGTCAGAGAAACAATGAAAAGATCCGCGCGACCAGGACACCGCCCCCTCCGCCGCCCGGAGCCCGCGCACAGGTGAGCCGGCCCGGCGGCCTCGCCCAGGTGCAGCGCGGGAGCGAACGGGCGGGGAGAGGGGCTGCCGGGACGGACCGGGCCCCAGGACTCCCGGGACCCTCACTCACCAGCGCCGCCGGCTCCTCGGTGGACGCGCGGACACCGCCTCGCTCACCTCAGCCGGCGCCACGCTCCTGGAGC